CAGGGTATAGATGGTTTGGGATGTACGCGTTGAATGGCACGCGAGCAAATCAGATCGATCAGTAAATGATTGTTGTTATTGCTGCTGCTGTTGTTGTTTTTGAATTCCCACTACTGAAATAATCATTGTTGATACCCCCTCTGGTGACATTGTACTTTTCAATTGAAGTGTCCCTCCCGGGTATCGCACCTGGTCTTTTATCGAGGGAAGTCTTCTTCCTCAAACTGCGCCCCTGGCCCCTGGACTACAACAACAATGGCTTCCGCGTGATACTTCCTCACAACTTATTCCCAAATCGCGCTCTGGCGCGGGACGTCTTCACACTTTATGCAGGAATCGCGCTCTCGCTTGGGATTTCCTGGCAGTGTATTCGGACGCCGCACCCTCGACATTCAGGAATCATGCTCTCGCTGTGTTTTTCAGCACGATTGATTTGGGAATCGCTCTGTCGCTCGAAACTGCCTCGCGATTCATGCAGGACGCACGCTTCAGAAACCCGCCTGCTCGATCTGGCCGCCTGGGCCCGTTTTTCCGACCCGCCTGTTAGGGTCTACCCGCCCGATTTGCCCGCCTGGTTCTGCCATATTTGTTTTGTTCATAGCGCCCGTCCTGCTACTCTCTTTCATGCTCCCCCGCCCCCTTGTCCCTTCCTTCGATCCGTCTTGTCTTCCTGTGCCTCAGGGGCTGCACGGAATACCCGTTGCAGGTCGTAAAGATATACCCCTAAGGGGGTACGGTCGAAGACGAAGAGGGCGGGTACCGAGGGTTTGGGATCTACATGCTGAGCGGCACGCGGGCAGATAAGAGCAAGCAGTCTTAAACTGATTGTTGTTGTTGCTGTTGCTGTTGTTGATGTTGTTGTTGTTGCTGTTGTTGCTGTTGTTGAACATTATTACTTCTAAAGAATAATTATTGTTGGGACCCCTGGTGCACGGCCCCCCCGCCGCGCCTAGGCCGCAGCCACATTTTCATCATTTTCGAGCGAAAGCCCTTGACAAAACGATGTGATCCAGATCCGGTTGTTTTGTTCCCCCCCGCTTTCCCTTGCAAAAAACAATATAAAATTACATTTCTTGTTCTAACATAACCAAACTTCAGGAATCCATTGCAAAAAATAACACAAAGTGCACATTCGCGCGCGCAAGACGAAATCCTTCCAAAACCTTAGTTTTCGTAGCGATTTTAACATAAAAACATCAAAAACCCAATGGTTTTTCAAAAACAAGTTGTGACAATTCTATCCCGCGCGCTCTTGCGGATTCGTAGGAAACCCAACACTTTTTTAACATTTCTGTCAAAAGGGCTTTTGCGAGCAACTTTTTCGAACTTCTGCAACAACGGTTGCGCACCTGCCAGGGCCATCATCCCTGTCAAATAATACCATGCGGGACACATTCGCTTTTTCTTCGCGCGCGCACGCCGTCGTCGTCGGCTGCGGGGCCCTGAATAGTAGCCACGGTCGTCCGCGTGCCACGAAGTGAAGTGTCCGAACGTCATAGGGCGGGAAGCTGGGTGTGGGTGGTGGCGAAGAGTCGTTGGAAATTTGGTAGAGCTTGAACCGGCCCCCCCACAAAGTGGGGGTATTGCCCGCCTCCTATGAAAACCCTGGCACTGGTGAGAACGGAGTGTCCCCACGTGCTAGTAATTGTTGTTTGGTGTTGTGTGTTGTGGGTGTTGTTGCTGACTGATGCTGTTGTTGTTGTTGTTGTTGTTGTTGTTGTTGTTGTTGTTGTTGTTGTTGTTGTTGTTGTTGTTGTTGTTGAACATTATTTAATCTAAAGAATAATTATTGTTGGGCCCCCTGGTGCGCGCCCCCCCTGCGCCGCCTAGGCCGCAGCTACATTTTCATCACTTTCGTGAGGAAGCCTCAGGTAAAACGATGTGATCCAGATCCGGTTGTTTTGTTGTAATCCGTTTTCCCTTGCAAAAACACTATAAAATGACATTTCTTGTTCTAATATAATCAAATTTCAAGAATCCCTTGCAAAAAAATAAGGTAAAGTGGACATTCGCGCGCGCAAGACGAAATCCTTCCAAAAGCTAGTGTTCGGAGCGATTTCAACATAAAAACATCAAAAAACCAATGGTTTTTCAACAAAAAAATGTCAAAATCTCATCCCGCGCGCTCTTGCGGATTCGTAGGAAAACCAACACTT